TGTAATCGTCATTGCTTGTATGTGTTTATTTATGTGCATACGTATGTGCTACATAACTTAAAGACGATAATTTTATCTCTTTTATATTTCATTTCAGAAATGATTCACATTTCGATTCCAACGACGCAAACATTGGTTGAAACAGATGGGAGTCGTACGTATGATGTAGATTGTTTATTTTCTTTTCATAGAAATTAAGTCACCAATTAGACACTACTTATTTTTTATTATTACTGAACACTTAATGTTTCTTCTAAGATTTTAATCCCATTTTACTTTTCCGTAGGTTATTTTTTCTTTTTTTGATAATCGCTGATATAATAGTATCAGTATCACTATTATCATGATATTAAGGAGTTAGTAATAGTTATTGATCTTCAATAATTATTACAGTGGAGATACTGATATGTGGTAAGATATAAAGTGTTTATTTCCAGGCATTTGATATATACATCAATGGTGCTTATCATGCAAGCATACGGTATTCTCATTTATTGAAGCTTCATGAAAAGTTACGTGATCATTTTGGACCAAAATTAAAAACACCTGATTTTCCATCTAAAAAGTTGTTTCGAACATTGGATCAAAAAACGCTGGAAGAACGAAGACTAGCACTAGCACGTTATTTTCAAACGAGTTGGTTTTTTTTCTTCTATTGAAATTCAAAACAAAGCTGGTTGGAAGAACATAAATTTTTCAATTTCAAGAATAGAAATTTAGTTTCAACAATCGACAACTTTTCATCTGGCTTGCTTTTCCTGAAGGTGGAAAAATTCTCCCTTGATTACTGTGTTGTTGATATAGCGTTGAAGTCAGCCAAGTTTTTTTGGCTGATTTTAGGCGCTGTCTTAACATGGAATATACTTTATTTTGATCCTAACTGCTTGTTGGTTCATAATTGATCCTTTTTTTATTTTATATTTTTACAATTTTGTTTTCAGTAGTTCAGCTTCAGTCAGTCGCTCAACACTTCATAACTGAAAATGCTTTTCTTAATTTTCAAATCGTGAGTGAATTTAACTTTATTTTCTGACCGTTTTTTTCATTCAAATTTGTGGTATAAAAAAATCACCTCTTTTTTTCTCCAGGAATCATTTCGACCTTCATCCAATAATGTCTCGGTTGATATTTTTATGGCAGACGGTACCAAAGAAACTGTTCGTTGCAATGTTGAACATCCTACTGAAATTATTTTAAAGGTTTTTTTTCCATTTCTTTGCGAAAGAATCTAGCGTTTATACCTATCATATTTTTTGATTCTGAAGAACAAAGAATCAGTTTTTAGCGATTTGCTGACATTATTGGTTTGGGTATTGAAAACATTGGAAATTTTGGCTTATTTGTGGCGAAACGACGATATGCTAATGATGATGGTCATTTCATGTCTTCCCTTGGTTCAATGAAATATCCGGATACACTCTGTTTGTCATTCATATAATAGTAATGCAGAGCATAAATAAGTTTGGAAGTGACGTAATGAGTTGTCGAAGTCTTTCTAATATTTTGGTGATGTAGTCAAGTTTTTAAACGCAGGATTATTCATAAGAGCCGAATTCGACTTTTTTTCTGAATCCCTTCAACTTCTGAATTTCTCTTATTTCTTGATGTGCTAATCCCTTCAACTTCTGGATTTCTCTTATTTCTTGATGTGATTTTTTAACAAGGAATAATTCAATGATCCTAGGAATCACTTCATGTTTTAGTACACCATGAAGCACATTTTTGTCCTATAAGGCTTTTTTAAATAACAATGGAAATTAGAGATCCTTTCTGAGAAGGCAACACGAAGAAATGCAAGGCAAATCAGAGCTAAATAATCTGATGTACTTTATAAAATACTTATAATAAATGTTACGTTGGATAATTATAACAATACTTTCTAAATTCTGCGATCTTAGTTATGAATGGGTTTTTTTCAATTTTTATTTAGCTGTACGATTATTGCGAAATTTCGAATCACCTTATTTATCAATTCATTTGTTGAATCAGAAATCGGCAGCAACAGGAGTGTTTTATTACATTGTTATTAGAAAATTAATTTGGGACCCGAAAGTTGAGGAAGAGATCATGGATGATCCTGGAGCTGTTTTATTATTGTACAAACAGGTACATTTTTTGACTCAGAATTTTAACCGGTGATGCGTTAGATATATAGGTAAATTTTCAGAAAAATCATGCGTTTAAAAATCTTTTCAAATTATATTTTTCAGAAAAAATTTTGGAAATTTATAATATATTTTTAAGTTATTTTTATTTTAGAGCAAAAAGAATGAAACCTGGAAAATATTTAGGCCGCAAGTGATTTACATAATGGTCATTTTGTGCCCCGTCAAACAGAAATCAAGAATCGTTTGTTAGCCTTAGAAGAGCAGGGCAATTGCACTCAGGTGAATAACGGATTGTTAGAAGTTTCTAAAAAGTATTGTTAGCTGATGCTAATTTTTCTCAGTAATCATTGAATAGTTTTGATTTTGTATGTTCTGAAGTTGAGATAATTATTGTAGATTTGTTATGTTGTTGAAGTTTGTGATTTTAGTTTAATTTTACATAGTTTTTTTTTCTTAATCAATAACGATAGATGAGACACTCATCCATTACCTATTTCGAAGATTATTGACATATCGATTTTGAAGTTGATCGATACTGTTTATTTTAGTTTCTACGCTTATGTCATTTGGAGCCAAACTATAGCTATGAAGTTTTGGAGCCCTGTTCAAGTAATTATCCACGACCAGGAACGGAGTGCAATTTAAAAGTTGGCCGACGTCATATCCTTTTGGAATTCAAAGATGAGGAAGCTAAGAATGGTGTGAGTATATGTAGTGTTATTTAAGTTTTAAAATTATTTTCTTGTTTTCTTGATGTTCCAACAATTTCTTGTTTCTTTCCTTTTTATCTTCTTTATTCAGATTATGCGCGTAGAGTTTCGCGCAACAAGAATTCGTGTTTGGCGCATTTCTCAACAAGACGATGGCTTTATATTTTTGTTCGAATATCTAATATCGAAAGGGGTATTTAACTGGATTACTCTACATACTAATCAGGTTTTGCTTCATTCATTTTGCTCCATTTATAATCAACGTGGAAAAAATCCTTCATTTTTTCTTTGGTAATTTTTTTCAATTCTGACAGTTTCTTTAAACAGTTGTGAAATTGCGAGGAAAATGTGATATAGGCGAAGAAGTTTTCTAAATTTCTGAAGTTTTTGCTGTTAAATGGTGTTTTGTAACAGAATCAAAGCGGTTACGCTTGAAGAGCTCAAATTTGTACTTGTTTCATAGATACAATTTAGTGGATGATTAAATATAAATCAAAGTGAGAAAGTACTTTGATTTCAGGCCATTTTGCTTTCTTTATTGCTTCAATCGATTGGTTTTGAAATTCTCAGAGAACATCGCTCCTTAATGACTGCGGTGAATTCTTATGTTTAATTAATTTTTTCTGGCTTACTCTATCCATTGAATTATTTACCAGTGCTTGTAGCATAGATTTCTTTTTTTTTGCGGTGAATAATGAATGTAATGAGATACATAGTGTCATTTCACTTATTTTATGCGACTTTAGAGTTCTAAGAAAACTTTTTTAATTTATGCGACTTCTAACAAAACTTTTTTTAAAATCCCTATTAACTGTAAAACAGCTAAACGAACTCTGCATACTTCAGCT